ATCGAACCCGGGACCCTTCAGTCCGCAGGCCGACGCTCTATCCACTGAGCCAAACCGGTTTCGGCGCACGGGCCATAGTTTGAGGACCCCTGGCTTAGACGGTTCAGGACTTAATACAGGGAAAAATAAAATGGCATAAATACTGTACATCCTCCTTACAGAAACACATAAAAACGCCTGGAGACAACCCCTCGTCAAGTGGTCTGAGTTGAGCCTGGAGAGGCCTCCCTGGGTGTGAGCAGCCCCACGGAGAGCCCCGTGTTAAGAAAGACGGCCGAGGAGAAGGCCACAGAACAAGAGCCCCAGGGCAATTACCCAGCAGGCAAAGGTCTAACGATTTAAATTCCAGTTAATGTGCTCAACACGTCAAACGTATTAAATTCGGTTTTAATTTTTTATTTTAGGCTATTATAAACATACCATTTTAGACATAAGACTAAGTTATCACCGATAATCATTCACCAATTTCAAATTAATAAAGCCAAGCAAAGAGATGAGCCAAATGACCTGACCTTCATGGTCTGGTGGGAGTGTCTCCAGTTCCTCCAGTGTAAATGTGTCTCCTCTTAAAAGATCCTCATCGATGATGTCTACCACCTGTTTATCGGTGTCATCAGTGACAGAAATACTCTCCTCATTGGTTTCCTTTATTTCAGGGGTTCGGGCTTCAGTTGGCATTCTGTTGACAAAAATGAAGCAGCTGCAACTGTAACTCATCTTCGGAAACAAGAAGCTTGCTTTCAATTGATAGTTTATTGAAAACGAACAAACTTGGTGCTTATATTTATCAGGTCTTTGTGTTTTAACCACGCCTGGTGCACAGCAGCAGCTCAAGGGAAGGTTGTTCAATGAATGACGGGGCCTCCCACTTTATTGACTCAAAAGATCAGAATAACGTCAACTCGTTCAAGCTTGCCCTTCTCACCGAGGACTCCCCTGCGTACAGGCTCCACCTTGGGGTCCAAGGACAGACCCCGCAGAGCACTGCTTCCCAGGGGAAAAGAGGTGAGTGATCCCTTCAACTTCCTCTGGCATCGGAGAGCCATTCATCGGAGAGCATAACAAGGGGTCTCTCGGGAGGAGCCGCTCCACCCTCAGAAGGTAAATGCTAGGCCGACAGGGAGGAGTGTGCAAGGAGCTCCTACAGCACTTCAGGAAGTGCTCACTCCCCGGTTCTCCAGTGCAAGGACATCTTCTTCCCTTAACCTTCAAGGGTGCAAGCCTTCCCTTCAAGCCGAACGGCATCAAACAAGGCGTCGTCGGGGAAAAGGTCGCAGTCAGCACTTACGTCAAGACGCTCCGGCGAGGTTCACCGTGGCCATCCCCTCCGTCAGGCCCCGCTGGCCCGGACCCTGCCACCGAGCAGCCGGGGCTCCCTTGTGAGGCATCCTCACTGGGGGGCCCCAGCAGAGACCCAGG